CGCCACAACTCTATTCTGTCACATGTGCCCCCGAGGGCAGTTTTTAATTAATTTACAAAATGCTGATTTTTTTTTTCATTTAAAGCGCAACATCTGTCAGATTTTGGAAAGCTTTGCATAATCACAGATGGCCTCCTAAACGTTACCTTTTCCTCTCTAACCACTGCAAACTCAATCAAAGAATGTGGGAACCATTAAATATTCGTGTTCTTTATTTTTCGGGTTTCATTTTAATCAATATCGACAACAGAGAGACCACATCAAACTGAGGTTTCAGACAAAGGAATAGGAAGCTGAAACAATTTTGTATTTGGTCAGAGCAGCACATAGCATTCATTCGATGCAAGAAAGGAATCAATACAACTTAAAAATTAAAATCAGCAAAAAAACGAGCACATGCACACACAGAGTACAACTACTGCCCCCAGAAAACAGACGATGCAAAACAATAGACAATGATAGAAATGCTGTGTAGTCTACTTTGCACACATAGATCAGAATATGTAGCACAAGGTACAATACGACATTGTATGCGCACAGACAAATACACACACGGAGCAAATTAAAACCAAAAATTTATGTAGGTCAGTGCACAGGAAATTGTAATTCCAGAATATGTAACAAGGACATTTTGTTAGGAGTTCCATACATTGTTTCAGACCCCTCCACTAACTTTGCGTTGAAATATGACAGAACTTATAGAGAGATAGTGAAATAAAAGTTTCCAAACCAAATTGCGGAACACTTCGTATTTGTTGCCGAAACATCTTCAAAACATTTACATATATGTGTTTATATGCACGTAGTTATCAGACTCTGAGAACAAACATTGTATTACAAAGTCTGATCCTAGGGGGTAGACATGGCTGTGCCAGCCATCAGTATGAATTGAATTGAACCCAATCTTTTGAAAATGTTTTCCTTCCTATGTCGTATCGGGAACATTCTTAAAAATTTTACAATTATGTTTGTAAACGAGGTACTTGCGAACATCATATTTCTGTTTCTAAATAAATCTCGCCATAAAAAGGAGCCCTGATTTCATATTTTCTAAATTTTCATGCCACCCTGTAGTATAAGAGTAACCTTAAATAACCAGGGAGCTGTTCTCATGCCCAACATAGATGATGGTTATGTACGGCCGCTATTATTGCTGTTGGTGGTTGTTGCTGCTGCTGTTTTAATGTAACTTACCGCCATAATGATGTAATGAATGTAACGTAATTAAAGAAAACTCAACACAAAAGCAGATAAAAATTTTGTAATTAGGTCTTAATGACAAAATAAGAAAAGGAAATGACAATGTACTCTCAACTATAACAATCACTCTCGGCTCCGGCATGGTTGCCGTCATCGCCTTTCAGTATCAGTTCTATTTGTGAACAGCAAGGGTGGTACAGCTTCGTTATAAGATAATAATTGAAAGGGCTAGTCGGGAAGTTTGACTACTGGTTGCCTTTCGATATATTTCAGCAGACAAGGTACATTGATTTTTATGTCTTCGGTGGATAGTAGAAACAAAAATATATGTATGTATACATAATGGATGCCATAAGTAATGCTATTTCTTTCGATTGTAAATAACAGGGAATTCTTGAATTAAATATTGAATGGGGGAGAACATATTGTATGCAAAATTCATATTCGTACACCTACTAAAAATTAAGAATTATCGAAGTATTCAAGGAGATTTTAAAAAGTTTGTATAGATTTATTATTATGGAAGATTTCATATTATTGATGGCTAACGCCATATTAATCGGAGGAACAAGATAAAAAAGTAAAAATATTATGCATTCTAATAAGAGTTAGAATTTTTTGGATATCATTTTTGTTTTTGATGACCGCGTGGATTCGCTCCAAGGCGACTAGTTTGGAGGTTAACTCGGGTGATATTTGATCCTCCATGATTTCATAAACCACTATGCTTGAATGTGGGAATGAGATTATAACGAGGAAAGTTCGTGTTGTTTTCTCGCTAAATTTTTACGCGTCTATCCGATTCTTTTATATTGATTTTGAACCCATTCGTGCTTATTAACGTCGGAAATAAATCGTTTTCTGACAACATTCTGAATCTTAAATCAATTTTTTCTAATGTAATTGTGCACTGTTTGATGTGTAACATGAATTCCAAAGTCATGTTCAAAACTTACATCCAGTTTTACGCCACTTAAGGATCGATGCGGATTTGACGACGTAGAAATTTCTTCAAATCTACCACATTTTTTTGTAACTGGATACGATATATTGTATTGTAGGAATACTGCGTTTCATTATTTTTGCAATATGCCGTAAAGATTGTACAACAATGTGGAAATATATTACAATTTTCCGTTATTCACCTGAAAGTTCACTTGATATTCTATCCATTTCGAGCTTCCCGAACTATTATGTAAAAGTTGATAATCTGATCTGAATCTGACATTTACTCAACGACAAACAAGGAAACACGATTTTGCATACTGTGTGGCCACTGTGAAATAAAACTGTGCTTAATATTTATTTCTGTCCAAAGTGACAAGTGAACAATAATTAATGTGTATTTTACTATAGTTACTAGGTATTTATTTAGATTATAATTTAAACATATTTTAAATTCTGTATTGACTGTGCAAATGGAAACTTTGGTCCAACTTAAAATAGTATTTCAAACGTAAAAAGAAATGTATATTTTTTTCATTAAGGTATAATTGTGTAATTACTTAGAAACATCTTTCGGTATCCTTTCGTTATTGTTATTGACTCTTAACAACAGACTTACCAAATTGAATGACCCCAATTAAGTTAATTTGATTCTGCCCCGACGATATTGCTAACATTGCCAAAGTTCAAATGAAACAGTCTTTATAAAGTTTGTCTCAGCCAAAAATATTTTACAATGTACCGGAAACTCAAGCACTAAAGACACTAAAAACTTGATTTAAAACGAAAAAAAACACCTACACTCCGTTTATCCAGTCCTCTTCCTCCTTTTCATGTTCGCCACACTTACTTCGTTCGTTATTTATGAAAAAACGAGCTATTTTGGCACACCGGAACGGAGAGGCCACACTCATGATATCGAAACCGAGTGAGCCAAAAAACACCTTTAACCGGATGCGGAAACATTAACCTCGAAATGTCAAAAAATATAACAGCAGCGAATTAAATTCTACCCGTTTTGTGGGTCAACACCAAACAGTTTCAGTGGCTGTTTCCTTCTTTTTGCTTCTTCTTGGCTTTATTGTATCGGAAAGGAAATCTACCTATAAACAAACTAAACAACAACGATACCAAAAAATGAAACGAAGACACTTCCTCGAACTCCAAAAAGGTCGTCGTCATCGTCACAAAACAAGAAGAATAAAAGCCATCGACGACGATACAAACGGAAATCAACTTATGTCAACAACTCCAGCCAAAAACCAGCACAACAATACACGTAAAACTTGTGAACTTGTACTGTCGGTTTGCAATAGGGAGGAAATTCAACGGAATGCCATGTAATGCAATCAGGTGCAACGGCTGTATGCGGCGCGAAGGCCACGTCGCTTAGACAAGCTGCGATGCTATTTAAAAGCCACCCACGTTGGTCGGACGTTTCCAGTTTTCCGCAAACAACTGCAAATAAAGTTTTGTTTTTCATTTGGATTCGAGCTATCATCCAAACGGAAATGAAAATAATATACTTTTTACTGTAGGAAAAACGATGGAAGTACAGTCTGCCCCACTTTTTTTTTATAAAACATCTATCCAGGTTATTGTATGCAGTAAGTGCAATGCAGCCTTTGTGATTTGGAGAAATATACTATATATATATTGGATTGGATGTAACTACCTACTATGTATCTCGTCTGATTTATTTCATTTCAAAAAATCATCAACGAAGATATAAACAACATTTTTGAGATTATGTCACTGTATAATCATAATCTTAATCCAGGAACATAGTGTGAATTTTCATCTGTGTTTGTTTCCCTCAATTTAAAATGTTGTTAAACATCGCTGCTAGAAAAAAATTGCTAAATGCCATACATAAGTATATAATTTCAAATGGATTGTAATTTTTAATGTAAAACAATCTAACAACCGGTTAGTGAAATACGATCCGGTATAACAGTTTTAACAAATTATAATTATATTTCATTACATTCTAATTCCGAACACATATTTTAACATAACTATTCTTTTGTGATGTAAAATCAGGAGCACAACCCGTTCTTAGAAATATTTCTCAAACATTTTATTTTACTATATTTTTGTATTCGGTCAGAGCCAAGCTACAACGACAAACAACAATGTCGTCACAACCACCCACAAAAATTGAACATGTTCATAGAACATTTCAACGCAACATTCCAATCAAAGACAATGCTTTGCACTAGCCTTTAGAAGGGGACACTTCTTCGTCCTTGGGTTTATTCCTTATTCCTTTATTCAAAAGCTACTAAAATATATTGGACATTAAATTCAAGTTTGTTCTAGTGAACTTCGTTGTCAGATGCTTCATCCCCATTTACTTAAACATGACTTTAATTGGCAGACGGGTTCAGTTTTCAATTTCTGTAAATATTTAACAAGATTCTAAAATAAGTTAATTGTTATAATTAGGAAAGTGTCAACACTTGTAACTGACAACCAATATCCATTGCTTATTCCTCTACAGTACAGTCAGAGAAATACAGCACAAAAATGTGAAGCAAACACATGTTTTTAAATGTAGGAGGATTGTGAATATTTTTTTACATAGGGTACGCATCAGAATTGTCGCTTTCTGTGTCAATATATTTGATAGACATTTGAAAGAAGCTATTGTAAAAAATCGGAAATGTAGTTTCATTTTAATTGGGTTAAGAACACGATAAAAGATTCACGTGTTCTATTTGTCTATAATTTTCATTAATTACATACATATAATACAGCAACATCATTTTCTTATGTATGTGTGTAAGAATTTGCATTATTTAATCACAATGTTTGATTACAACAATTTTTATGTTTTCTATTAATCTTTGCAGCATGGACTACACTAGTTTGGGCTGTTGTGTTCTGGCATTCGTCCTGTACCTGAACACGTTGAATTCGGGATTTGTATACGACGACAGGTATGTAAAGGAAACCTTAAGCATTTACTCCAAACACACACCGAATAACCAGGAATCATTCGACCCACACTATAAGCATTTCAGAATATGATTTATACCTCCACAGGGATGGAGGGAGTGGAAACATTGTTTATTATTGTTTCGACAAAATACGAAAACACAAACAAACATAAATCTAACCAAATGTAAAGCTTTGAGATATGTTGGCCAAACAACAAGTCCCCCCAACCACCCACACATTCAAACATTCACATAATCATGACCAGTGTAACAACAATACAATGTTGTTGTATGACAGCCAAGCTGCAGTAATTTCGGGTATGAACATAAACATGACTTGCAAATAACAATGTACTCGTAAAACCCAAATGAAAAGTAGGAAAAATGTTTTTGCGAGCTTTTTTCATTTTTCTGAAAGGAGTGCTAGCTGAACCAAATCATTATTATTAACCCATAGACAGCTTCATTGAATATATTAACTGGACTTTATTTTCACGGACCAAATACAATAGACGAATTTATTTAATTAACGATTTATATAATATTCAACATACTCCGGTACTGTTAAAATGTTCGCAATCACGGGGCTATTTTTCGAATTTGAGCTATACATTGAATTTTTAGATTCTTCTATTTATATGTGTCTTCCGTAATCAGGTCTTCACTCATCTATCTAGAAACCAATGAGTGGGACCGTATAGTCGCGACCGAACATATCATACTCTACGCAACAAGATTTTAAATTGGATTAAAAGTCAACCACCTCACATTCCTACACTTGGAAACGTTGTAGTTTTCAGACATATCTTTTTGTACGTACCGGATAAATATTGACTAAATATCGGCAAAATATGGACTGAATAAATCAATAAACATGTTCTTGATTACACGTTGGTTAGACCCCTTTCCAGGTGTAACGTGACAGAATGAACTTTTCAGTCCAGTTCATCCTCTAATATATATATATATATATGTCGCCCTTGACCACAACCAAAACTTTACGTAAATTCCATTGTTATACTTCCGTCCTCTATATCAGAATTCATAGACAGCTGTAAATATTATATTACAATTGCCACATATAGTGCATACCTCAATATAATGGGTATCCTCTTGTATATACTATTCCTTCATTGGTCTATGTCCGCAGTAAAAATAAATATAAGAATTAAAATTATGTAATATTTCAAACAAAAATCTTAGTCCAATTGAACCCTTTTAACATTGACAGAGAGCCATGATCACTACCAAAAATTTGCATTGTTTACAATCTTTAATGTACGGGTAGACTGCGAGCCCTAAGACATTTTTGGAAACATTAGGCTGCATAGGGTTAAGGAAACCTGCTATTCACTAGCACTGTCCATGGGTAAGAACTGGCGTAGTAAATTTATTAGCAACAATTTTACTTGCACCATTGAAATATTACTTATCTCGATTAATTGAGGTAACACAACAAAGAAACAACGTGGACATAGTCAAACTTGCGGCAGAACTGTTAAGTGTTTTGACTGATCAAAACGTATTCTTTGTGACTTTAGATGTCCCTTAGAGTTTGTAATGACTAGTTGTTGTTTTTACATAGTTGACTGAGATGACAGACGTTGGTCGCGTTAAAGCCACGAATAACCTCCAACCTCCGTTTGCAATATTGTGTAATGAACCAAACAATGATATTAATGTGAAAACTTTAAAATATTAAAAATATACCAATTTACTCGGTTCTGGGATTGTATTAGAGATTCCACGGGTTCCAGATATTAGCCGATTTTATATTATTGCTTTTGTTGTTTTAAGAATGTTTGCTGTTATCGTCTTTAGAGTCCATTTTACATTGATATACAAACAACAAAAACCTTTACTTTCTTTTAGAACTAAATAGGTTGTCTCATGGTATAATAGCATTATTTGAATAAAAGATTGGGTTATAGCAGTTCTAAGGTTATGTTGAGAAGAGGGGTGGTTCACACCACCACATGTTAAAATTAGGACATACACAAAAGCTGTGAATGAACTGTTGGGCACTCTAGGGTAGGAAGAACGTTCTGTTTTGCTTGTGAATTCCTTCAGTTGTTTCCATTCACACCACCTTTGATTGGTTATTCCACGAAAGAATTGGTTTCGGAAGTTTGAAAGGCTGGGTAGTGGCACAGGAAATGTTCTAACGTTTCGCTGACTTCTCCAACGCTCTACGCCAGTTGCTTCCCTTGTATCCAATCTGTGTAAATGCATCCTGCATCCTAATTTGGGTTTCCCCATAAAATTGTCGAGTTTTCCCAGTTTCCTCGCTATTCCAGAGAAATTTGTGGGTTCCCTTCCCCATGACCTCAGTTCTAGACGTTAAAAGGTTTTGCATTATTTATATCTTTTGTATATTGTATACTTTCTATATCGTTTCCCATTATTCCTATTCGACTCGGTACCCATATGATTCGTACGAGACCATGTCTCGAGAAATTATTTATGGTTTTTGTACATAATATCAAACTGTTACAGCAACTAAATGCCGTAGTAAAATTTAAAAATGATGATGTTTTTAATTAGATTTTGGGATTGTGGACGATTGATTTCCATAGTCAAGTCCTGATTCAGTTTTATTATTCTTAAAGCGTAATTTATATATTTCACTAAAATTGGCGGTTAATATGATTCGCAAAGTAATTTTGCATATAAAACTTTTGTCTCGATCTGATATGGTTAAATATTTTATATTTGTATACAATATTTGGAAAAATGTCTCTCTCTCTCTCTTCTATATATATTGTTGGTATTTTATCATTAAATCACCAAAAATAACCACACCAAACCTTAAAGAGGTTTAGTGTAACATTAACACAAATTTCGTTTGTGGGAGTGTATGCAAATTTCCCATTTATCGCATAGAGCAGGACGGCAAAACTGTTTATGAAGCTTCAAAGAGACGCTTAAGTAAAACCGAAAGTGTTTAACGCAATGGTTTCATTCTTCCGCACTACCTTGCTCCCTAACAAACCACTATTCAATCCATCTTCAATGAAAGACTCATTTTTTGCAGTTCAGTGCTGGTGGCTTTTACAGTTGCTTATATTTCCACTTGCCACACTTTATTTTTTCTTCATTTGAACACAAAGTGGAGCCTTAAAAAGTAGTACATTTTCGGTTTAGTTTCGCCACGTCACTTGTAGTATGTAGGTAGGCTCTGGATCAGACCTTTGTAAAGTCTATGCATACTCATTATTTGTTTCATGTCTGTTTTTTTTTTCAAAAAAACAGAAACAAAAATAAATAAAACTCGCACATTCACACGTAGTCAGGGGCCAACGAACATATTGGCGAACAAAAAACTGAAGGAGGACTTGGATGTTGGTTAATGGTTGCAAAACTGAACGTTTTGGAACTCGTGCCTTTAAACGTAGAAAATTGAAATCAGCCAAACAAAATAAATTGAAATTCAGACTGACAGGAGGCAGTCTGACGTCCAGACGGACATACAAGCATACAGGCATTGAAAATCCACGGATTTAATTCATACACAAGCTGACGCCGACATTGTAAGTGTTCGCGTGAATGCTGGCAAGAGAACGAGAGAAAGATTTGTACTCCCTTGTCATTCATTGTCTGTTCAAAGGAGATCCATTCAGAGTGGCCTCAGAGATAACGCTGTAGCGGGAAAGGCAACGGCTATCTGTGAACTGTGTGCCGTATGACACACACCCTGTGTACGTGTATTGATTTCATAACAGAGCTACATTTTTCATGCAAATATGTATGGAACAAATTTGTATATTCCCTAGAGCTCGACGTGGCGGCGGAAGTAATGGTTATGAGGTCGCCCGCCCACCCCTTCTTCTGGCCACGGTGTTCTGTTTGGGTACGCGTACGTATGTTTGTGGGAGTGAACGCGAACTTGTATTTATGTTGGAACATTTAGCAAAGCCGCTGTAAATGTGCGATACTTCTGTGAAAGGGCAGACAACACTTGCACAGCATGGAGAGGCTGTGGTGATTGCATCATTGCTAAAGTCAAGCTAAATTGTCACACAACGTGATGTTAGATAGGCAAACACGTACACACGCACTTGGAATGTGTTGTCTTTTTAGAAAGGTATGTTCTTGTGAATGTGTGTGTGTGTTCCACTAGTATATCAAAGCGCGACGCAACGACACACAAACACCTCGATGGAATTATTATTGGTGTTGTTGTTGTTATTGTTCCCTGTGTGTACACTGTGTTCGTTGATGCTGTTTACCACCTTCACAGGCATGAATGTATTTGTCTTATTCTTCGAGTTCGTATGTAGAGATAATAATAACGGTGATGATGATGAAAATGTTCACATTCAATGCCGACATAGATACAGCATACGTTTACCTAGGACATACCATCAAGGCACAGGCAATGCCGACAGTAAACGCTACGACGAACATTATGAACAACACTTGTTGTTGTATCTATCTGCTTCCTTCCATAGCAGTACAAATGCTAAAGGCAATAACGATGATGGCTGTGATGATGAGAATGCTTCTTCTCTCCGTTACATTTACAACGCCAACGTCACGAGAACATGTCCTCTGATTGTGGCAGCTTACTTGGCATTGCTCTGCTTCGAAAAGTACAAAATCACTCACAGACATATCGACATGGACGGCGTCGTGCAAACGAACGAACAAATAACGAATAAACGAATGAATAAGTAAACGAAACGGGTAAATTCAGTGCTGCTGCTGGTGTTAATGATAACACACTCCAAAACACGAACACACGCATACTTGTACAACACAAGGGAACAGAAGTGCCGTGTTCAAAGGAAGACTATAAAAGTTTGGTTAAAGACTTTCAGGAACAATAATACAGAACACCATATAGACCACAGCATCATCAGCGACATTATGAAAGAATGAAGGAACGAGCACCCAACGATACCGGTGATGCAGAGAATGCCGAGGATATACGACAACAATGAGGATGATCATTACATGATTACGATGATGACAACGCATTCGATAATAATGACGATGATGATGATGATGAGGAGGATAATTTCGTTGCCGACGATGATGACGAGTTGGCGTAGTAGAAATTCCGAACAACCGTGTTTGGGATAAGGTTGTACGATTAAATCGTATAACCCAAAAAGTAAGGAAACAAAGGAACAACAGCCAACGCCAGAAACAAAAACAAAACTAGCTTTGCCACCTACAGAAAATGACTTTCTGTTTTGTAAATATAGAACCAAGAGCATTGTTTATTCCACAACAGGATAATGAAGAATATTGGATGTCGTTTAAGGAAAAAAATTGATAAAGATTTTGATTTATGTAGGCATTGAAGTGCATTGGCGATATGACAATGATGAAGATATATATTCCATACATGTACATGCGAAATCCACCCCATTTCGTATCAATAACCCTGAAGTTTTATCACATAATTTAGTTGTAGTTAAAGCTCTCAATATTAATGTGGCTAGGGTGGCGTATTTTTTTTATTTTTCCTTTGAAACTACCGTAAATTCAAATTCTTGCATTTTTATTATATTAGTTACTACCATAGTATTAGCATTTTATAATAACCTACAATTCATGTATAGTTGGCTAGGAAGCTGTCAATGTTTTGATTTTTTGAATTTTTACATGTGGCATACAATACATTGTAATATTTTAAACAGCTATATATATTATATAGACCAAATAATATTTGTATATGACTCGGTTTAGTCGACACTTGAAAATACTGTTCCACTCCGCAGTGGGGATTTATATTGTATATCTCACCAATTCAAACATTTACATTAAAAATCAAACAGTGCGTTGAATGATCCATTAAATTGATGTCAGTTTAATAAACCAGAACCATGAAAATACATTGAAGACGGTTTCTCCAACATTAATCAAGACCGAAACTCTTGGCCTGAGACTTCGCCGCCATCTTCTTCGCTAACAACACAAACTCTCCCTCATATTCATTAGCATGTTCCAATGTTTCAAAATTAATAAGGCATAAAGTTGATCCGATAAAATAATCTAAATGAAATGTTGTAGTATGAGAAACCGAAAAGAATGGCCTTGTTTATTGTATAGTGATTGTGCGATCGAAGTACAATTTCCTAGTTACAAAACACCGGCCGCCAAATGTGACTGGATGCCATCCAGACGTCTGTTTTGGTCAATTTATTGAAAACGTGAAGCTTTCTCTAGCTATACAACGCTAGTCTGATGTGAATGTGTGTGTTTGCCCAATATAAGTGTCGTCATATAAAACCAGGTGCTTTACTGTTCCGCCTACATTATGAAATTTCAATACATGCTTTACACCAATCGTACCTCAAAACGTTAAGATACGCAAATACATTGTCTGTACACTGTCAATGTAACTTTAGAACAAATCGACAATTAATCAAGTAACTGAGTCAACTGTTGCAGCAGCCAATGCCAAAGACATCAGTCTACAATTTATTAGTCTCCCCCTCCATTGTAGACATTTTGTTTCCATGTACTTTAATCAAAAGTCTCAGGCCACCTTAACACATACACAGACACAACAACCGTCTTCCATATCTACTAGAGCCGACTGTACATTCACCTAAAGGGAAATTGCGAAGGTGGTGGACCTTTTAAATTACGTGTGTATTGGTGTGAATGTCGGATTCCACGGAAGTTTAGTGTTACATTTGGCAATTAATAAGCTGCCAGCAAACGCTTCTAGTTAATAAATGTCGTCAGAGGGAAATTAAATTGGTCCCTTGAGAATATAATCGGTAACACGATGACAAACACTAAGAACACTGAAGCTGTTACAGTTGGCAGTGTGGAATCTTTGGTGGGAGTGTTAGCCCATCCGTCATCCACTCACATAAGTCGTTATCTAAAAACGTGACCTGGGGTTAGGGATTGTGTAAGGGCACTCACAGTTTCTGAAGGCAAAATGTCCCCCTCGATTCAATTTGCCACCGCTCTGTGCTATAATTACTGTTACAAACTAAACCCAACCGGCGACAAAGTATTTTAATTAATCTTGAATGTTAACATGCTTTGTGGTAGCGTAATAACCGGCTTGTTTACCTGACTTGGTTCTATGAATCATGACTCTCTATGACGCCGTTATGGGCCATCAACAGGTTCTGATGTTTGTTCATGTTATGTAATGTTGTATTGTGTTTCTTTCTTTTTCAGGCGTGCAATTCTAGCCAACACGGACGTCTCAGGTACGGCACCGTGGCAAAGTGTTTTCCTGCACGACTACTGGGGCACGCCGCTAACAGATAGCGGTTCGCACGGATCCTATCGCCCACTGTGCGTCCTTACATTTCGCCTGAACTTTCTGCTTAGTGGCTACAATCCATGGGGCTTCCATCTGGTGAACAATCTCCTGCACTGCTTAGCCACAGGTTTGGTGGTGAAGCTGGCTCGCCACTTTCTATCCTCAGTGTGGGGTGTTTTTGCAACGGGCGCCCTTTTTGCAGTACACCCCATACACACGGAAGCTGTGGCCGGCATCGTTGGCCGAGCTGATTTAGCCGCGTGTGTTTGCTATTTAGTGGCTTTTCTGACATATATGCGTCACATAGCGTGGCGGGAGAGAGGTGATCCTATGCAGTGGCTAGCATTAGGCCTAACCATCCTCACGTCCATTGCCGCACTTCTTTTCAAAGAAACAGCCATCACTGCTCTGGCAGTGTGTGGAATTTTCGATGTGATACGCGGCCTAGCTGGATTGAAGGACAGACATCGCCTACGAAGCCTCTGTGTGCTGGGATCAATTTTAGTCGGATGTGTGTATTGCCGTTTGGTGGTTATACCACGGCCTCAGACTTTGTTCTCCACGGCTGACAACCCCATTGCTAAAACAAATTCGATGTGGACACGCTTCCTGACATTCCTATATCTGCCCGTATTCAATTTTAAACTGCTGCTCAACCCACAAGTGCTTAGTTTTGATTGGGGAATGAATGCCATTCCACGAATCGTCAGTGTGTGGGATGGCCGCAATGTGCTGAGCGCAGGTTTCTATGGTGCACTTATTTTGGCCGCATGGCGTAGCTACTGCACTCTACTCCACCGTCACCAGCGCCTCAATTCTGGTCAAAAGCTATCACTGCTGACAGCAGGCAGTTCGTTTAGTGATACTGCGTACCACCTCAAGCCGCAAACTCAGCGAAAGTCACGAACCAAACGGAAATATTGTAAACAAGTACAATGCCACGACATAGGAGCGGTGTCGCCGACTCCGATGCAAGCCGATAATTATTACATGATGAGACCACCGTACACAACAGCAGCTGCATCGCACACCTGCTCGTATTTTAAACCGAAACTCATTGGCATATCATCAACACAGCAGCCTGTCTGTGGCGACTGCAAGCTGGAATTGAGTTCCCTGCACCACTGTACATCGTGCAGGGTATTAAATAATAACAATAACAACAATAATGTACTGACACTAAGCTCATCCGACGTATACCGCAGTGAGTGTTGCTGTCATCAGTTAATGTCTTCCAGTGGTTCCATCGGGACGCCACAGCTGTTTAGTTTTGCTCTGCACAAGGCCATCTCATGTGTGGTGTCGTCACGCAGTTCGCGCAGCAGCAGCAGTTGTAGTAACTCAACGACGGCAAGTAACAAAAGTTCAGATAGCAGTGCTTCCTCCACCTGTAGCTCACAATCATCGAAGTCCTCCAGTTCAGAGTCGCTGTCGCACCGAACACCATCGTGGTCCACGCTGCAAACTAACGAAGATTATGTCCTAGCGCACATGACTCCCAAATGTGCGAATGCCAGCGTTTTACTGATGGCTCTGGCATTTCTCACCCTGCCGTTTCTGCCTGCCACAAATCTCTTTTTCTACGTGGGCTTTGTAGTAGCCGAACGTCTGCTCTATTTACCAAGTGTAGGATTCTGTCTTTTGGTGGGTTTTGGTGTTACCAAACTCCTCGATCGATTTCATTCCAGCAAGAGTCCCAGAAATCACCAAATGATTTTGGCCAGCCTGTGTATTCTTCTGCTGGCGCTAAGTGCCAGGACCGTGCGACGAAATCTCGATTGGAGAGATGAGGAGAGTTTGTATCGTAGTGCTGTGCAAATAAATCCACCTAAAGGTATGTATCGTATAGCAATATACCACATACATAAATATGTATGTTTATATGTCTGTCTGCAACGATTTATTTAAAATTTACTCGTATTTTCAGCTCTTGGCAATTTAGGAAGTGTCCTTAGTTCCCTGGCTCGTTACAAAGAAGCCGAGGAAGTTCTATTAGAAGCCATAAAATATAGGCCAAACATGGCAGATGTACATTTTAATCTGTAAGTATTTAAAGAAAATCGATCACTCAATATAGCAACACATTTTCCGAATCGGTTCGACAAACAGTTCTGAAAACAAAAATTTCTTTTTGTAAATTATATGATTAGATCGTATTTCTGCAAGAACCACAGCGAAAGACCTATTGGTCTCGAAGATATCGGCCGAAATATATAATAACCCAAAAATGTTTATCACAAAAAAGTATTTTGCTTTTTATTATTATTTTAGAAAAAATTGTTACATTGAACACGTTTGGTCTTTTTATTGTTACAATTGCGCTTAACCACATACTATAAGCGATTTGACCACGATTCCATTACATCACGGCATTTTTTCGTGGGTATTTTCTCACATTTACATTCAATACATTCTCCATCATTATTTCATTTAATATTTCGTATTTTCTCGTCCTAATCTTAAGATGAGAGTATTAAACATAGTCCTTGCGGCTTCAAAACATCCTAAATATGTTTAGAATAATAAAGAAGAGGTTTTGCAAAATATAACGCGGGGACAGAACCTTAAAAACTATAAAAACCAAAATCCGACAAACAAATTATTTAAAAAAAATTCGCGAAACCCAATTTTTCTGACTTCGAAATTTGTATGGTCCAGTAATATTGATCTAGGAACCAATATATGCAATGTAAATACCAATAAGGGGGTCAGATTCAAAGATATGAACAGTTCTAAAGCAAGAGTAATAAAAACCAATACATGAAGTTGGGAGAAAACATCATTATTAGTCAAATCCTTTTGTCTTTTGAAAAACTGTGGTTGCTGGTGGCAAATACGCATTCTATATTTTATCTCCGATTAACACCATCAGTTGCGAATAAAATGCAGTAGGGAATAAACGGGCCGATCTATTTATTTTCGAAATAAGATGTATTTATATTGCCAGAAAACCGTCGATATCTTTGAATCTGACCTCCTTATTGCTATTTTAATAGTATATTTTGGTTCCTAGATCAGTAATAATGAACCATAAAGTTTTCGAAGTTAGAAAAATGGGGTTTCGCGATATTTTTTTAAATAATTTGTTTGTCGGATTTTGGTTTCAATAGTTTTTAAGGTCCTGTCCTCGCGATATGTTTTGTAAAACCTCATTTTTATTATTCTTAACATATTTGGGATGTTTTGAATCCGCGACGACTATATTTAATACTCTGCTTTTGAGATTAGGACGAGAAATTACCAAATATTAAATGAAATATTGCTGGAGAATGTAATGAACGTAAATGTGAGAAAATACTCGCGAACAAATGCCGTGGTTTATTGGAATCGTTGCCAAATCACTTATAGTATGTCGTTACCCGCAATGGTAACTATAAAAAGACCAAACGTGTTCTATATAACAATTTTTTCTAAAATAATAATAAAAAGCAAAATACTTTTTTGTGATAAACGTTTTTGGATTGTTATATATTTCGGCCGATATCTTCGAGACCAATAGGTCTTACGCTGTGATTCTTGCAGAAATATGATCTAAATATGTCCACAAACATACTCCATCATCCATAATTCTTTTTACATCTTTAGTTTTCTGGCTTTAGGCGTATATATTGGAATTTTTTCAAATTTTTGTTGAGGCAAAATACTTATTACACTCATTGTATATGCTCGTACGCATTTCGTATGCTTATCACAACAATCCTGACCGGACTTATGTTTTTGCCTTTAATATAATATGAATTTCTCATGATGATTCTTCGATTGTTTCTTATCATAACCAGTAAGAGGTTCAAATGTTTTGCTAATATATTAATTAGATTGATTAGGTTTGCTTTTGAAAAGAAAAGGACACTGAATTTCTAGTGCCGGTGAAGTCGATGCCATTTCAAAATTTGTTTAATCTCGATGTCTGAGCGATTCGCGCAAATCAATGTCATATGCACATTTCTTAATACACGTTGTGATAATGTTCTTTTTAGTCCTTGTTACAGTTATTCAGGCGTTCTTAGTATTTTTTGCCGTATGTGTAACGCATTTATCGCACCCTTAGCACAATTTGTTGAATTTTATGGCTTTTACGTTGTTCTCGTTTCATCATCGTCTATGTTGACGCCGACGTCGGCATCATCATCTGCGACATATCAAATGTCATTTATGTGTGCACACCTAGATATATGTTATGTACGCATATGTTTGTATGTATTTCCATCCATGTGTATCTACATACAGACATGCATGCCTCTCCATGCCATATATCATTCATCATTTTGTGCCATTTTACGAGCATTTATATTGCTTACAAATCTCTGCATTTAAAAGCGAAAACAAAACAAATTCCCCCTGCAATAACAACCGCTGTATCGGCCAAAAGACAAGCAGCATGAAACGGAAAACCTGGACTGCAAAAAAAAACTAAGCGGCTGACAAAAGAATCTTTTGTATCGACTGAAAGCGTGATAGAGAAAATCTACCGTATTCAGTTATGCAGTTGGAATTGAAAAAAATGAACACAAACACACATAAAAAACTAAAATTCAACTGCAGTACTGGAACATGGATATGGTAGTGCCGAGCAAAAGTGAACTACTACTTCTGGTGGTGACGATGGTAATTCTGGAACTACACTTAGCTGGAAGTTGCCACCATGAATATGCAAACATGCATGTGGTCTTTGTCATGAAGTTGTTGATGTTGAAACGTCATCTTCTGCAAGCTGCTTCTTTGCGTTGTTGTGGCCCTCGCTATTTACTATTCATCTTCCTTTCTAAACATTCTGGCAAAACACAGTTTGCATTATGCCGGTGGTTTCTGTCAATCTGCAATGAAAATGTACGTGGCTTTCCCCAAAGTATGATCATTCAAATACAGCGACAGTTTTAGGTGGCAAAACATGAATATGTGCATATTTTGCATTTAGGCCAACGTCATTTTTTTGATGGCATTTCTAGAGATATACAGCCTAAAATTGACATTTACTACTCTTGAAAATATCCTGATTTTGAAGTGGTTCTACAATGTGATTTTACAATGTATTACTGACAGAGCTATTGAGATAAAGAAAAACTTGCGTAAGAAAAATTATTTTCAATCTATACAGCTTTAAGAGCATATCTTTACTCATTTGGAAGTTAAAGTTTCATATTAGCCATATTTGTAAAAATGTGGCCATTACATCTAAAATATGCTAACGGTTTACAATACACAACAACGAACAAGAATTTTTCAGTAGCTATGTAATTATTTAATTCACAATATTTAGATATACTCAGATTGCCAGACTCCTCATTTGCTATTTTATTCTCATCAAATAATCAATATCGGTTAAATTATTTCCGAGATTTGTTATTCACTTCAAAATGGGGAAAAGGGAACTGGGAACCACAATAGAACGAGTGGAAATTGTGCAAAATGACATACACCCAGAAGGTAGACAGACCACAAAGCGAATTCAATTCAATTCAAAGTTAAAAACGGAAACATACGAAAAAATCGTCTCAACCACAATAGCACCACGAGTAAAGTAAACATCCAGATAACAGCACATTGAAGTAATTTCCAGCGCACAACTTGAAGACGATAACGTGTATGACGAACAACAAATAATCTGAAGAACTGCCAAGGGTGTAGGAAACAAACAGCAATTTAAACCACATTTCGAAAAGCAACAATAGAGCGAAAACGTTGGAATCGAAAATAGAAAAAATAAATAAACACAAAAAACAGTATGTCGAATGCCAAATCAATTTGGTGGTTCAACCACCCCACAGGATGGTAAAAAAATACACAGATGTCTGTAGCCCCACCAAAGCAACATCGTTTGTCTTTGCCATAGCATCCGGCGAGAAAGCGAATAGAATTATAGATCATATTACCAATACTTATTGTTGCAATGTCATAAAGCTATTAGTCATGAGGCGAATGGCAGGGGAGTGTAGATGTGTGAATGCCTAGAATTTATATGAATGTATGATATGGCATTTAGATGTATTCTGGATGATATTTTATATTTTTGGCATACATCGTTCATAACGATTGTTCGTTATCTGATTGTTCGTTATTTGATTGTTCTTACATTTTGAACTATAATGCAGAAAAATAACCTTATCTGAGATGTCCCAAACCAGAAGACATACGGAATCAGAATAAAAACAAATATAAATAGCAATTTTGTAATAAATTGATGGTGTCCTCAATTCAGTACATTGCTCTAGATATCGCTGAGTGTCTAATTAATTTCAAGAAAATAATTTTTGAAGAGCATTTCATATATGTGTAAACAATTGCTATAAGTATGTCCCAAAACTTTTGCAGAATTAGCTACACACTCCAGGGGGCTGATGAACATAGCGGTCATCACAATACATTTATTTCAACCGTTCATGTTTCTAATAAACTTGTTGAGGCTCTGCTGATAATTCCGCTTTATTGACCTTAATTTTATGCAGAGTCTTAGCACTTTGATTAATGCAGTTTGCGGCACAACATTTTATTACAATGTATTTTTTACAATTTCATTTAAATAACCGCGTGTCTTATTTCAATGTTTCTTCATGTTTATAATAAATACCCCATGCATTAGGCACAGCATCGTAATTAATTTTGTTGGTTGGCTTTCCAATGTAATAGATACAAATACAATACAATTTTGTACAATTATTTGGAACACAGAAAGCATACATTTTCCGGTGCTCATAAATAGCAGCCCACTGTTTCCTGCTAGCATTTCTATTGAAGATGTTGTGATAGCTTCAAGTACATCAAGTATATTTCATGTTAGTTAGTTAGGTCGCTACTTGCCTCAACATTGCCAACAGACCACATGTCAGTCATTCTGTCCGTCCTGGGTATCTGAGTTTGTCCGACTGCTGGTCGACTGTAACTGATGGCATGGTACTTTGAAACTCCAGCTCAGTATTGGTGCCTGCAGTAACAGTAGCAAACAGCTGGAATCAAGGCGAGTCGTTGCTCTTCCCCATAACTTCAATAATATTTCAATATCAAGCTTCGATTATGTGTATGTTTGTATACACAGCGTACACTGAAAGGAGCACAGCGATGGAAAAAAAGAGAAATGGAAATCAAGATGAATTCCTATGTTAAGTGTTTTTTATTTTCATGTCGACAAAAGCAAGCAGAACTTCATTGAATCAAATATGAGCCAAGCGGACAAACGGCTGCAGTGGGTTGCTTTGGGAAAGGCAATCCGTGGAAGTCGCTACGACTGAAGTATGGTGCTGTTGAGGATTGAGTGAAGGAGCTGCAAACCAAACTTTACAACATTGCCGTGTTCAAGTACCAGTGCGACGAGTAGTCATTGAAAAGAAATCAAATTATTCAGCTCAATGATTATCGGTTTTGTTGTTTGGTTTTCGTTTCGGTTTAGATGCCGTTTGTGCCACTATCATTGCCACAGCTCCTTCACTCTCCTCCGGCTCCCTTTACGGTGACTAATACAGATACCGTTGCTGTTCCTGCCAGTGATGATGACGATGATGAAGGTAAATGGTGTTTGAATAGCTGAGCATGCACTCACTTTCAGGTCAAACGTAATTCCATTTTTCGATTTACACAAGTCGAGGAAACAAAAACGTTGAATTGAAAGAATTTCACTTCATGTTGTCTACACCTTCATTGCCAATGTGTGTGTAGGTGGTCGGGCAGCCTGCCTGGTTTCCAGCAAAATGGGGCGGTTTGACAACATGGATTCTTTTTTTATATAAATTATTTACGATGTACAAACACTTTTAGTTTTCTGATATTTGCCATTCGTACTTGTTACTTTAATTTTGTTGATGTTTTGGCCGCAAATGTTAACACGCAATAAGCTTTGTTTTTTCGGGAATCTGGTACAACATAATTTGCCGGTATCTACATGCAATGTTGAATTCGCACTGCCTATTGTCAAGGCTAGTTTGAATAAATACCTAGAGTTGATGGAATCTGGCCATTTAATCATAAACACTTGTTTATTTTAAATGTTATCAATTACATGTATGTGTGAGTGTATGCGTGTCTTAAAGATTGATTTTTTTCACGCTCCTAGTACAATAGTAAGGGAAATACAAACTTCATGTCATCATGATAAATTATTCTTTGGGGTGTGAAAAAGCTTAAGCTCAGAAGGTGTGGAAAAGTTGTAGGGATCACCTTAGATGTTTGAAAAAGCTGTGATTTTTCTATTTTCAGTTCTGAGCAATATTTAATTTTGGGCTTTGGTATCATATTGTATTAATAGGACACTCTCTCATTCGATTTATGCTGCTTAGAGCAGCGTATACTTTTCGAGTTGAATGTACCCAAAGTAAAGTTTGTTCCTTAGTATATAAACACATTTACTGTCGAACTATCATCCAGGGCGAAGACTTAATGCCATTGTAAAAGATGAAAAGTGCATCACGGTGCTCCGTTTTGGGAATACACATAATCTGCAATAGGCAACGATTGAATCAGAATGTCGGCATTGGGATGGGTATAAGAGAAGAAATGTAACTTTATAGCAATGCTGGCATTAGGCATTTTCCCAAACGTGTGCCCATCCATGTTAGTGTACATATACATATATGGAGTATAATGTTTTGTGAAATGTTTTACTGTTTTGTTGCTCACACAAGCATTTCCGTCAATCCTTTGATATATACATTTTTTCAAGTAACATAAACTACAATAGAAGCAGCAGTGCAAACATCCATTGGAACGTTCGCCAAGTGAACGAGACAAAGAATACTCCGAGCAAAAAACTAGTAAACGGATTTTCCTACGAATTTGTCAAAAAAGATAGTAAATTCATAGCACATATTTATGGACTTGGGAACGAAACCCCCATTTCTGTCAAATACAATACGAAAATAATAATAGAACCACAGCAATACCATAATAGACTAGAAAATGCAGAAAAAGTACAATAGCTGCAGAACGAGGGAGTAGATATTTTTTTCGTATTTGTCAACAGAATAAATCGGTTTATTACAATTTCCATTGGAACAGACAGCGTTCTTCAATCGGAATCGTTTTTATTGTCAAAAACAATGGTTGTAATTAAATTGATATTCCAATGGCATTTAAGGGTTTATTACAATTTCCCCCCCAATCGGAATCGTTTTTATTGTCAAAAACAATGGTTGTAATTAAATTGATATTCCAATGGCATTTAAGGGAACCCCCCCCCGCATTCTCGATTTTAATTTTTCAAGATTTTCAATGGGCTGGTAAATCAATACCAATGCTTGTTAAGGTTTGTAACTTTGCACATATATAATTGAAGATTTAAAAGAGAAGAAAAATAATTTACAAAAAAATTTTGTTATTGTTTTGTTGTTGTTTTTTGTAATTAAAGAAAAGTCCTTATTTTTGATGGCGGGCATGATAACTCCTCACTGGAACATCGGAATCCGAAAATTCCAACGGTGTTAGAAAGAGTACATGTCTGGCTCTCGTATGAACTAGGATTATTGACTTCGCTCTAAAATTAACAAAATGGTGGACCTTTGAAAAAATATTTTTGAAAAATCGCATATTTTTTACCAAAAACAAAGTTAAAAAATAAGGAAGATTTTCACCGATTGGCTTTATCCTAGCTCATACGAGAGCTATACACTCCCAGAGAAACGTTGCAAAATTTGGAACCGATTGGGTTATTAGTTTTTGAGTTATGGTGCCCGCCATTCGCAAAAAAATGTTTAGAGAAAAACGCGTTTAAAGTTTGAGAAGCCCTTCAGTCGTCACTTGATGCTGACACAATAAATCGGATATATCTTCAACAGTTCTTGAGATTTTCACTTGAAATTTTGTAGAGACATTCTTTAATCAGTGTAGATTCGAATTACATCAACAAAAATTTTGACCCCGAGAATGGGGGGGTCCCCTTAATTGGTATTTGCATTTTTCCAACATTTAGGTCTAAAATAATTTTGCGTAGCCTGCCTTAGGCTGAACGCTTTCTCCCCTCTTTGTGATAAATTATTTAACTAAAATGTTTCGAAACCCAAACGCTCACACACATACAACCGGAGACATTTATTCCGTTTTTTATGTGTTTGCAACACAACAAATGCAATTAGCTTTTAATGGAGCTATTTTAATTAATGTACGTCCGTCCTTTCACTCCGCCCTCTCTCTTTTTCTTTCATTACAGAGGAATTTTATATCAGAATCAACAAAATTATAAAGCTGCTGTAGTGAGTTTCAAAAAGGCCTTGAATTTTCGACCTAATTTAGCCGGTAAGTGGTGACGACTGGTCAACTTAACATTACGCAGACAATAGCTTTATGTTCTACTCTCTGCTACTCTACTTGCAGTGGCTTATTTGAATTTGGGCATTTCGCTTATAGCATTGGGCAAATGCCAGGATGCGGCTCAGGTGCTGCAAGAGGGGGCCAAGGTGGATGGCACCGGTGTCAGAGATCGGCAAGGCCATGAAAATGCTCGCATTACATCGTACCTGCAATTGGGAGCTCTGTACGTTGAACAGGGAAAACTCCAGAGGGCTTTGGCCGTCTATCGCGAAGCTCTGCACGAGTTGCCACATAACTACTATAAGCGTGATGTGCTCTACCATAGAATAGGTGATATTTTCGGTAGACTTCAGCAGTGGGATGAAGCGGAAAGGCACCACAGAGCGGCCCTGGATTTGCAACCCAACCAAGTTGCGGCTCATTTGTCCTACGGCATAACATTGGCCAGAAATGTAAGTAATTTCGACAGAATCGATATTTTGGAAATACTAATTGAGGTTGTTTGCATTCGTACAGAGCAGTAGGATACATGAGGCGGAAATGTGGTTTAAGCGCGCTTTGCAACTAGCACCTGAAGAAGCAAGTGTTCATCATCACTATGGTATGTACTATTTGCAGCGATGTTTAACTAAATACCGTTGGACTTCTAATATCCTACATCCTACATCTAATATTTCTATTTCAGCCGAATTCCTTACATCACAATCACGTTTGGCTGAAGCTATAGTTTATAGAATTAAAGCGGCTGAACTTGCACCAAGAGACTACTCATTAGTGGTGGCCGCTGCCACTGCTTTAAGGTTAATGGATCGTAAGCTGGAAGCGGAATTCTGGTATAGAAAGGTATGCATCTATTATAAACATACCTTCTCCTTCTACATTTTTCTCAACTCAAGTATTCGAAATCTTTAGTTTTCTTAACGTTTTATGTGGCTGCTATCAATGATAAACATGAAAACGTGTTATTTTTGTTTATATTTTAGGCTGTCAGTTTGAGGCCAGCAGATGCGCATGCACACACTAACCTCGGCGCTATTCTTCACCTACTAGGACGTACCTCAAATGCTGCCGCCAGTTACAAAGAGGCTCTAAGACTTCAGCCTGGAGACGCAACAACTTTGGGCAATCTGGCCAAACTGGGACTTACGGACACCAAATAGGCACAGACAGATTCTTCAATCGCCCAATACAAACTAAAAAACACAATTGTAATCCTTACATACTACATATGTATGTACTATATATAATATGTACATAATATACACAAATACATATGTATGTACATAGTATATAGACTCAAATTCAAGAAGACAAACAAATCTTTAAAAGATGTGTAAACAAATGTACCATAAGAAACAAAAACAATTCCACAGACCAACATTTGAAATTTAATTATGAAATGTAAAAGACGTACATTGACTTTTTATGTAAATATTTGCAAACGGAAATAGACAGAATGTCAAGGAAAATTCCAAAGAAAAAATTAGTGAAGTTTAAACGCCCTCTTACTATGCAAACATGAAAACAATAACCATTCCACATGGCCGAAAAATCCCCTTCCGTTTACTTTATTTATTTTCATTTATTGTTCTGTTCAGTTCAGTTCGGACTACTTCATTGTAAATACCCTTTCCGAATAACCGCAACGCTTTACAGGGGACATCAGTATCAATATCATCTTCATCATTGTAAATAATTACAAAGGCTTCATGTCTGCACGGTAAGAGCGGCTTGGGAGATGGTGAATTGTAGTTAATATATATTTTCTGTTACGTTTATATGTAGGTGTACATTATTATTCTGTAGATAATTTAACAAAATTATATGAACATTTATCAATGAGAAGACATTCCATTTGTATCCCGTCTGCATATCCCAAGCATCATCCTTCACCATCCCCGTTCCAAAGACCCAGACGACGAGTAGGACAGTAGCAATCCTCCATTTTTTGGATATGCTGGAATGTTTACAACAAAGAACTTATCTCAGACAACAAATAAACATATTGTAAATTATGACAAAAACTTATATAAAACAAGGAATATATTCGTATAAATATATATACATAAAATTAAAGAGAAAAGAAAAAATTAAAAGAATTTGTTGTTTTATTTATTGAACAGATAGTTGTTTTAATAATTAAAAGGTATATACTTAAATTCGCAAACAATACTTTTTTCCTAAAAGTGGATAGCGAAAACTATTTAAAGGCGAGAACACGTTGAAAATGTATAACAATAGTCGATATATCAAGTTTTTATGGATTGTTGATTTTACATTCTGACTAAATGTCAATGGCTTCTCAAGTTTAAAACATTTTAAATGACAATTTTAAATCAAATAAAAACAAAACAAATCGATTTTTTGAAACCTGAAATGGCGGCGGCCTCAAGTGTTTTTTTTTCATTAAAAATTCCCACGTCCTATAAAATACCAAACTACATGGAGTATGTACAAAATATGTCGCAGATAACCTAATTTGTTCTTCTATAAAAAAAAACACAGTGACAAAATTGTTTTGTTGATTTATTATTTGATGCAATTTTTAGATTTATTTTTTCATTAGGCGCCACACTCTTTGACGTAATTAACACATTATAAGATTCTTAAATATTAATATCGCATTGTTAGTGCCTCTCCATTTCCATCTCGCAAGAATCGAATGAAAATTAGCTTTAAAGTAAATTAAACTAATACCAGATAATGGTAGATGAATGAACATGAAATCGAAAAGAAAAATAAGAAAACGAAATCTCTCTGGACTGAACGTCCGCTGACAATCGTAGCGGCAACAGAAGAACTAATACCCTGGCAGGGATAATATTGCAACACAACCACTAAAACCACTACCAAAGCAGAGTAAGTAAACCACTCGACACAAGTAAGTACGACGAAGGGTATGAAAGCGAAGCTGTATGAAGTACACAGACCGTTGTGTATTAAGAAGAGTTGTAGTGGCGTATAACTGCAAATACGAAGGATGTCAGCAGCAAAGACCAGACCGCACGATCCACGACGCACCACCTCATCACCCAACCAACTGGTAATAGCAACGACAGCAAACCTAAAAGTATCCTCATTACATTGAGTTACTGTGCAGCTTATATTTTTAAGCTACGAAAATAATTGAATTCTTAAGCAGCTTAGCGCCATTATAACGCTTAGATGGCTGAAACAAAAGAATGTACAAATCGAACTGAGACATTGCAAATGCGGATTGTGTTGAATGTGGAAATAGCCGCAGATTCAATGTCATCTCAGTAAATTTCGTTGTCTTAATGTGGGCACATAATATAAGATTTAGAGATTTTCAAATGGCTGCCATGGTGAAAGAAGCCTTCGGCTAAGCAATAATGCCTTGCGTTCAGTCATTGGCCAATGCCAATATTATTAAGGGCTCTAGTAATGTTGACGGGTTATTTGGGGTACCATTTGCATTTCTTTTTTGCAAAATAGTCAGGCGTAATCACAACAAACAGGGATTTTATTAAAACAACTACAACAACGGCAGGGCAAAGTATCGAGCGATTAGAATATGTACGTGTAGTGCCCCTGTTCTAATAAAGGTCATGTGAGCATGGCCCAAAAATATCAATATACCAAAATTATTAATTATTAACATATACCGTTCCAAAGACTTATCTGCAAAATTGATTTGTTCAAAAAATGGAAGAAAATATTGCTTGCCATTTTTTCACTTTCACTTAGATCATTTTTTTTATATTTTTTCAATTCGAACGAAAAATGTAGCACCGTGCACTGATTGTTTGATATAATACACATTTGTTTTCTGAATTAAAAAATTAGTTTACATATGTTTTTTATTCGAAGATAAATAGTTTGACCAAGGTGTATTTATGTATGATGTAAGTGATAATCAGTTCATTTTTTATGTTGCTTTTTTTGTAAATTAAATTTTCAGGATATATTAGGATCTCCACTTTCAATGAATTGTAGTGCCAGAAAAAAATAATATAAGAAGAAGACAATTAAACATTTAAACTTACTTACTTACAAGCCAATCTCAGGTTCTAATACGGGAACTTCGGTCCACTTCTTCTGTTACCTCCCCCATAAAGAGTAAATATTTTTAATATTGCCATTGCAAAATATCCAGTTAGAGTGTAGTGGGGTTTTTTGAAACTTTTCGTTCTGATTTATGTGCAGCTACTATTGTTTTAGCTGGAACTTAGTAGTGGACACAATTCATATTAATTATCAAAACAATTTTTATTTACAAAGGATGATTTTTAGTTATTATCTGTTTGTTAACATTGGCCATTTTCTTTCTCTGTCACACATCTTCAGTTGGGAAATCTCATTACTCCTTGGTAGGTTTGTCATCTACGAACATTAATACAAAAATTAAATATTGCTATGTATTGACGAGATTATACAATTAACACAAGTGGGCAATATATCGAGATATTTGCACCCTCTTGACCGATTAGAGGTCAACTGCACCTCTTCCTTACACTGTCTTATTTTCCGAATATTACTAATATTCAGGACAGTACTTCTAATTATGTCCATATTCCCTTCACCGTGGGTTGTCTTCTGATGTTCGGCTTATAATTGTAGCCTATAAATCGACTCGAAAAAACACAAAAAAATAAGTTTTTGGTCCACTTCATCACAAAATTATTATTTGATCATCACCAAATCATATGCGTTATCCTTGACCATAACTGGAACCTCATTGGGCTGAAGATTGGTCCATAACTGTAGTCTGTATCGTGTTTACAAATTATAAGGGACAGACGGACGGACACACATGTCTAGATCGACTCAGCCTACTTAATGGTGACAACGAATTATCGATACGTGGTTCATTTAATAAAATATTTGTATATTCGATATCAAAAGTGGTCATATTTAATATGTTTATGTAGACATTATTATAACAGCCAATTACAATCTTCGAAATTTTTCTAACAAAGTCCGATCGTGGAAAATGAATATGAATTACATAGGGGAGACTGGGGCACATTCGGCACATTTTTTAGGAGCTCTATATCTCAGTAGGGGAGACTGGGGCACCTTCGGCAATCGCGTTTTCGATATGAAGCTCTCACCGTACATCACTAGTTTCGATACATAGGTATCGAATATCGAAATAAATAACTGACACAAAGTTTAAAATTTCTAGCTAATAAACTTATTTAAATACATGGGTTTTTATATTTTTATAGATGTTTCTGTAATATTTCAATTCCACTTCGTAAGTATTTCGCGTATAAAACTTTTTAAATTTTTAAGACAATATTATTAAAAAGTGGTTAACTACGATGTGTATTATTATAGAAATGTTTAAAAATAAAATGTTTATAAAAACTGATCGAAAAAAATGAAAAAAACTATAAAAAGTACATTCGGGGTACATTCGGCATTTTAAAGTGGGGCACATTTGGCCATACACAGATTGTGCAATATTATTTCCTTAAAATGTTTTTGAGTTTGTCTTTAAAACTAATCCTTTAATATGGTCCGAAATTGCATATATAACATCAAACGTACTTGTATTGACGAAAATGCGATAGAAACCCCTTATTTCTGATGTTGTGTGCGAGCTTGAGATGTAAACGTACGCCGTTGGAAAATAAAGCCCTATAATTCAAACATTGTGTGGCGTATTAAAACCAAATAGAGCCTTTAGAGGATCAGAATTTCAACCAGACTGAAAGCGATGACAATTACCCGGCTATGACTATGTTGCCGAATGTGCCCCATCAAATGCCGAAGCTACCCCGGGTTGGGGCACATTCGGCGAATTTGACTTTTTTTACAAAACTGTAAAATTGTTTAACTAATACTATTTTTTTATATCTTTTTGGTACTATTTTTTATAATGAAGTGTCTGAGGACAATAATCAGCCATAAAGTTGTTATATATGTTGAATAAGTACTGAGATATAGAGCTCTAAAAAAAAGTGCCGAAGGTGCCCCAGTCTCCCCTACTTATTCAAATGATATAAAAACTTTATGGCTGTTTTTGTCTTGTGATACTTATAAAAACTATGTAGTGCCCAAAACATATAATAAATGAGTATTGTTAAACATTTTTACAGTTTTGTAAAAAAGTCAAATTCGCCGAATCATAGTCATAGCCTGGTAATTATTATTGCTATCAGTCTGGATGGAATTCAGATCCTTTAAAGGT